GACAAGCATAGAACAACTTTGAGAAGTGTCCTCCACACATCTCTTATTAGGTATTAGCCAAGTATCCGACAGAAGGCAAGTCAGACAGAACCGGAGAATACCATATGCCATGTCAGCCTGACATGTGGAAATCACGTGTACAGGTGACGTGGTGTATAATGAGTAGGCTAGCATCAGCAATAAGAGTAGAACTGTAGACGATCGAACTGGACAGAAGGCCCTCTTTCCCATGTCACCAGAGACGTAGCCAACTTGTTGTACTAAAGTGATTAATCTAAATCGGCCCTCCCCCCCTCATCAACAACTGTAGACGACTCGAACTCAGATGGATGGACAGACTGCTTCTGCTTCTGTCATGTCAATCCTCCAAAAGTCAGGAAACGTCTTTCTTCGTTGCAGGATCCGGAGCCTGCATTGCCAATAAGAGCGTACATGATTACGTAAAGAATGGTGTTTTGCATCACTTTGTTCTGATTTTCGAGCCAATGACTGATCGATTAACACAACACCGTAGCAAATTCATGGTTCACTCAGAACGCGCTCATGAATCATCACTTACACGTAAAAAGTTGACACTAAACCAATCTCTCTCTCTCTCTCTCTCTCCACTTCGATTTAGTGCCTCAATGAGTTTATGAACGAGACGAGTTTCTGGCAATTTTAATGGCGTCGGAAGATATAACTTCAGAAATCACAGTTAATATATGAACAAAGAGACTTTTGTAACTGGAAGCCCAACATCGTCCAGACTTTACCAACTCCTTTAACAGATGCGCGTGAGTAGTTGAAACTAGAAAGAGCCTCCTAGCCTGTAGCCAAGCCCTACGTGATCTCAGGCTCCATAACTCGAACTGGGTAGAAGAGCTGAAAGCCAGATTTTCGGGGCCTCAAGACAGCTTGTTTCCAGCATGAGACGTTTGAAACTGTTCTTGCTCGGATGTGGAGTAAGGCTGTTTTTGTGTCAGACAAGGCTGTTTTCTTTGTCATGCATGCATATAAATCCTGGTTCCTGTATTGTTTTTCTTCTTTTTTCTTTTTGTTAATCACCTTTATCCTCATCTCACGTGTGTATATGTATGTATGTCTTGTTATTAACTGTTACCAATATAAAGTTACTATTCGATATTAATGCAGAAAGCAGATTTCTTGTTTCAAAGAAAACAAGTATACAACGAGTGTTGAGATATATATATATATATAATAGAAGATGGTTCCTTCTCCAAAGTTTATATGCAAAAGAAGATGGTTCCTATCACATTCATGAATTCTATTAACCCCCGTCCAAAAAATGGCTCGGAAATGAAAGAAATCGATCGAGTTTTACTTTCAAATTTGTGTGCTCTCTATTGCATATTCATTTTAACTTTTATGTCTTGCTATCTATGAATTATATATAAGAAGTTAAGAACACACAAAAACACAGAAGTATAAATTGGATCCAGACAAATAAAAATTTCAGTCTTTTTAATCCATTGTATTGTTACTATTTAATAGATTTTGCCCAGAAAGTACTACTTGTCCTAGAAAATGTTGTCCATCATGAATCATGTGGGACAAGTTCGTGAATAAAATAATTTGTACCAGTGTACAACCTAATTAGCACCAAAAAATACAGAAAAATAAAAAAAAAAAAGAAAAGAAAGGAAGTAAACAACAAATATATCCTCCAATATAGTAATATTACACCACTGAATTCATGGACAAGGAATCAACAGAATGGTATGGAAATTTGAAAAACATGCATGGGAGGAATTAATAATTCTGCTGATTCTGAAAGATGAGCTTAACCTTAGAATTGACATGGACATCTTTTTACAAGAGTTGGATACAATTAGCAAAAACCATTCACACTTTTTTTTTTTATTATTTCTGATTCTTTTTTCATGTCGTAGTACTACTATCTGAAACATTTTAAAGATAAAATATATATAATTGTAGCATGTTCATGAAGGTGATATGTGCACTGCTTAGAGTAACTTTTGTCATCTTGTCTCTTAGACGTCACATTGGCTTCAGCACATAGCTTGGACTAATTACACATACAAACTAGAATGGAATGAATAAATAAATCCTTATTCATGGTCATATTTATGCTGGTAAATATGAGAAGTTACATATCCACATGGATGAACTGAAGCCTATTAATGGACGGGCGTATCTAGTAGGAAGAATCATGGGACTTGAAGCATGAATATCAAGAGTGCCTCATCTAATGCTATGTCTACAGTATCTTCATTGGCACTGAAAACAATTAAAATGCTTTTTGAAGTTAAGGCATGAGAGAGAGAGAGAGAGTAAGCCAACTGCTTTGCTCTCCTACTTTTGTTTGGTACAAAATGCTCTTTCCTTTTTGTTCTCATACTTCTACAAGATTTTCTCATTTAGATTATTATAGCGCCAGTTAGTGTAGCTATATATGTACATTTTCTGTTATTGTTAAAGGTTTCATGCAACTACATGAAACTTACTCACCAAAAGATACCAATCAATGAGAAAATCCAGAATGCAAAAATAGAAACCTCTCTAATATTGCTTTCTAATACAATAGGATCAAGGGTACTATCTGTTCTGCCATTAATTAATTTGTTGAGGATCTAGTGCAAAAAATGCCTTTCCATGACAACAACTTGAAGTATATAAACTCCCAATCTTTTCTTCCCACTTTCATGTCAATATGCTTTCTTTATAGTCACTCCATATATTTTTCATAAAGGTTAAGCTGAAAAAATAACACTAGGTTCAAACAAGTGGAGTCTTTTAGTTATAATTCAGAGTTTTGCAATTAATATTTTTATATTAATGACCATTAGAATTCTTCCCTAGATAATACAAAAGGAGAGTCTAAATTATCACCCACTATAAACTTCATTCCATATTAAAATCATCACCCACATACTCCAATATACCACAGACATGCCATAAATGTATGCAAACATGTAATTACTCTCCAAAACTAACTGAGATTATCAAGGAAAGAAGATGCTTGTAAACAGTGTTCACAAAGCATCTGAAGTGACCCCAATAATTTTCAACCATTGCATGAAGATGTCAATCAACCTAGCTTACTGCACAGTCCAGAAACTCAAGTCATATAAATATATCTCCCCAACAGCCACATCAGAAACAGGTGCATATGATAGATACATGAGTGTACTACAAACCACCAATTTGCTGGTACTAAATATTATAGAATTTGTCTATAGATTTTCTTGATTGCATTTGCATATATTATGATTCATACCTAATTCTGTTCCTAGAACACATTCTATTTAAATACATGCCCTCAGCCCTATTTTAAAGCTCCCCCTTTTCAAATTTAATAATTTATGGTGTAATGACATAGAATGGGAAATCATGAAATTCATTCTATTTTAATATATTTTACATTGCATATAATTCCACTAGAATATATTTTCTGTAAATGGAAGCAAGCAAACAAGCAAATCACCCACAAATGACAAGTCATCCAAAAATTTTTACCAATTAAGTCACCAGTAGAAATCGTTTAATTAATTATAGCTAGTCAATTAAGTTGCTAAAAAATTTATCAAAAAGAAGCAAGTTCAATGAACACCATTGCAAGGGGAATGATCTCACGTATTAACAGAACCCTTGATCTTGAGCTAGGAAAGGCTAAGTTTACTGCATGTGAAGTGTGAACATTATTGGATATATAGCCATGATTCAATGTAGATGGCTGAACTCGCTTATAACCAACCACAGCCGCATATATCAATACTAACAAAATAGGGGACAAAGCAAATTAAATCCTAGAGTGCTAAAGTGAATTTCTGGTTTCCTTGGTTATAGAAAAGAAATTGTCGGTGATGTATGGGTACTTTTGGCATCTTTTGTCACTATTCCTCTTCTGGTCTTTATAAATCATCATCAACACCTTGATATAATTGAGAGAACTTTGTCGAACAATTATATTAGACACAAGTCATGCCAACCAGCAATCCAATCAATGAGTTTGCATGCACGGAGAGGGGATGGTGATAATGCTAAAATATTGTTATAAATGACAAAGAGTTGTCCATTGCATAATACACATTTACAGAGTTGCATGTATATCTTGTTATCAGTACATCTGTGTGTGAAGCAATGTAGCTAGGAGGAAATGGCAAAGCTCTCAAACTGAATAACTGAGAAAAGTAACACCTAAGAATATATATAGGAAAAGAACATTTGCGCTCATCTATACATGCTTTAATTTGTTCTATATACATACATATAAATCAATTCTAGAGTTGTAATGTCAAAGACATTTACTCAGTTTGTTTTAGACTACTCATTCTGTTGCTTTAGTGTAAATAATTAAAGGAGTTAACCGTTTTGGATGTAGAATAAGAGAGTAGAGAAAATTGAAGCATCTAGATGTGTAGCAATGGTTATGGAGCTCAAGGGTTAGACCAATAGGGGTAGAAGTTAAATATTCAAAACCTAGGGTTTAAGCTGTAAACTGTTGCAGGTATAAATATAAGAAGCCAAAAAGGCAAAGGGGGACAAAAAAGAGGATTACATGGAGGGAATCCAGATTTAGATATTATCAATACGTTGGTGTGTCGTGTGTAGTCACCCTCAGTGTTGGATTCATGCAAGACAACCTATTGATTTGTCCATAGCTCGAATGATTTCTTTTAATAAAATCAGACCAAAAGCCAATCAAGTTTCTTGTGAAGCCATGCTAAATAAAGAAGATAAAGGGAAGAGACAGCTCATTTCCCTTAGTAGGATATGTAATATCCATATCCAAACAAAACCTTAAGAAAAATAACAAGGAACCCCACTCCACAAAAGAAATCAAAACAACATCAGACCCACCATCTCCTATAGGTTTGATTTTCACTGCTAAAATTAGTAGAAATAGCAGTTGTTCGTACCATAGATGGAAAATATTTATATATGACCGACTATTTATACAGAAACATTTTATACATTAACAATATTATATTCATTTTCTATATATATAAAGGAGAGGTTGGTGGGGAGACAAGAAAAATAAAAAGTCACAATAAATAGCCCATGATATAATAGATAATAATAAATACAAAAGGAGTTGACAGGCCGGGTTGAAAAGATTGACCTGCATCTCCTCCCATTACTCAGAGCAAACTTAGATTCCCGTTGTCTTCTCCCACGAGAAAAATCCATGTCCAGAGGCACTGCACTGCATATGATCACCAAAACCCTACAAAAATGAAAGACACCCACAGGCCACAGAGAAGAGAAAAAGAGCAGAGAGAGAGAGAGAGAGAGAGAGAAAAGATTAAGAGGAGGGAGAGACAGAGAGAAATGGCAAAGAGAGGATAGTAATCTCTAATAATCTCCATAAGTTTTAATTGACTTGGATTGTCTTGCCGATTCACGGATGCTTATATAATTTGCTAGAAGTCATGAGAGTGATACATTGATGGGTCACAGCCAGCTTGTGACCCATGTCGGTTCATGGCTTCTCTCTGGTTACTGTGTCCATTATCTTCCCCGTCCATTCTACAACCCAACTGACCCGCGGCCGCGGCTCCGAGATTGAGATAAACCATCCTCGAATCAAGACTTAGGCTAACCATGTTGTTATTGCTGTTGTTGCTATTAAGATCGTTATTCATCGGTGGATAAATGGGAGTGGAGGAGGGAGGATTTCCACTGCCTTCTTCCCGGGAGAGTACGAGAGCCGCCGATTGAACAAGCTCCAGACAGAGTCTCAGTTTGTTGGGCTCTACGTGGGCTAACCCAGGGACTGCCCCTTTGAAGAGGAAGTCAGAGGTGAGTTGCCGGAGAACGTCGAGCGGCGTCACCCCATCCACTGTTCGAACATTGGGATCGGCATGGTGGTCGAGTAAGACGGCTACCATATCTGGGCACACCATTTCAGCTGCAACGTGAAGAGGAGTCTTTCCGGCTGGGCCAGCTGGGTAGTTGACATCAGCCGCACCAAGCTCTAACAAGGCTTTGACAACCTCACGGCTACAATTCTCCACTGCGTAGTGCAAGGCGAGGGCTTCATCAAGATTCAGACCTTCCCCCATGACCATGAGCTTGACTAGCTCGACATCGGATGAGTCGAGGGCACGGCGCATGCGTCGGATCTTCTGGTCTTCGAGATCGGCTGCAGCTCCAAGGTCGTGGTGGTGGTGGTGATGGTGGTGAGGAATGAGAGAGCGGCGATGGAAGGAAGATTTGAGGCGGAGCTCTTCAATCTTGGCTACAACATCAATTGGTAGGTGCTTGGCAAGTACTTCAGGTGGAAGACCAGATTTTGCAACGAGGTGGGAACAAGTAGTCCAGAGCTGGTGCATGTCTTGTTTTCTTGAAGCTATTAGAACTTTCATTACGTCCTCTATTGATGCCTTCTCTACCATGCTTGCCAATTGCTTCTGCAACCCCCAAAGCAAAAGATTAGTAGAAAAATTATCTTCAATGACATAAAATGAAACCCTATTCAGGAGAAATCTACTTCAGAGCCACTTTAAATCCATAAATAATGTGTTTTTGAGGCGAGGCTTAGTTAATTATGATCCATATCCATAACAGTCTTTCTGTTCATCTAAATGAGGAAAGTAGAATAGAGGAAGATTTGCTGTTCTCTACTCTCCCACAGAGAGAGAGAGAGAGAGAGATTGGTGTGTCTAGTCGTTACTGTACGAGACTATAGCTAGATGAGATCAAAACCCCAATTTAGAAAGTGATGGGTGTTTAGCAGAAAGTTGAGAGGAACCCAATTGAAGAAACTCAAAAAAAAAGAGAGTTACATGAAATCGAGGCCAATTGATCATGTAATATGATTAAAAGAAGTTAAAAAAAACCGAAAAATGCCGAATCTGGAGTATTATAAGAAGAGACGCATCTATCACAGAAAATGTTAAATATGAATTTAAAACCAGGATCTCTTTCTTCTGAAAATGAAAAAACCCAGTTGAGAAAAAGCTCCGAACATATATGAGATCAAATCTATTTGCTATAGATGGAAGAAAAGGATGGCTAGAAACATACAAAAGCTTAGATTGCTGACCAAAATCCAACCCACCCACTTTATCAAAACAAATAAAATTTCGAAGACAAACAGATCAGAAAAATAAAATAAGTACCCACTTGAAACATTTTAATCTCTTGCCAAAAATCAATCCCAAGATTTCTCCTGTAATCAGAGTTCAGGAGAGAGAGAGAGAGAGAGAGAGAGAGAGAGTACTGATCACAATAATTCACCTGAGTGAGCAATGCGAGCTGCTCGACTCCGAAATATCGAGCGGCAGCGAGCGTATCAAGAGCAAGATCAACGGCTGAGGTGCAATGGGTGTGCCAGCAACCCCTCTCCCCACAATTAGGCCTTGGTTCATGCTTCTGAGGCACAATTGAGACCTGTCCACTGTATAAGAACTGCAACAACAACAAGAACACCTCATAACCAACGGAACTCACAGGGATCACCTGAGAATTCCCTCCTCTGGGTGAGGTGGCCAACGATGCGGAGTTCATTCGTGATCCTACCGAGTCGAGACCTGCCGGCGGGTCAGGCCCGCAGAAGAACTTGCGAAAGAAGAGGCTCCTGGCTGCCAAGATGCACCGATGTGCATGAACAAGACGACCCTCAACGCTGAAGGTTACATCACTGAAGGCTTGGCCGTTGATGAGGAGGTTGAGGTAATCAAGCGAGAGAGACTTGAAAGAGTCCTCTAGGTTCATGGTTTGGGGTAGCTGAAAAAAAAAAAGAAAAGGTTTTTGGGAGATGGGTTTGGAGTAACTTTTATTGGCTGCTTACTGGGTGTAGATTAGGAAGAAGCGGCTGAGGATAATATAGAGATGAAGAAGTGGGAGGAGAGGAAAGCGTCTCTTCATCTTTCTTCTTCTTTCTTCTCTCACGAACGGTTGTTTCTTCTGAGAATCTCTCGATGGTGTAGTGGTGTTTTTGAGATTTTTTCTGTGCGAGAGAGAGAGAGAGAGAGAGCAATTTGGGTGGCTGTGCTGGGCGGCTGTGCTATTTAAATAATGAGGGAAGGAAAAGAAATGATGAGAGAGAAAAAAGAAAAAAAAAGATTTCTGTGGCTTTTGATGCTTAATTATTTAACCAACAACCTTTTCCACTTAATCACTTGTATAGACGAATAAATTGTTAATATGAGGTGAAAAATATTAATCAGCTAGCTATTACAATGCTATAGTACAATATTAGTAATACTTGCATACATTTCTCTCTCTCTCTCCTTATAACCAATTTCCAAGGCAAGAAAAGTGATTATAGTTCAAGTATTTAGGGTTGCAGAGTTGAATTTTATTAGTTAAGAACAAATTTAAATTTTTAATAAGGAGATGTTTTTAACTTAACCATTTATAGTTTATAGGAGCTCTCTTGTGTACTTGGATTTCTAAAGAGTATGCCTTCTATCCCTCAATCTTTACGACAAATAAAATCTACAGGTGGCAACCCCTCCACTTTGGATAAAGTTTGGGGTGAAAAAATTCTTACCTTCCAAATAATTATGTAATATATATATATATAGTATACTAATTATTTTGTTAATTGTAATTAGTAATTATTAGCCATTAAAATTCGATTGATAAGACATTTGAACTCTATAATTAATAATTAATGATGTTAATTCCTTCTTGCAAAAATCCAAGCTTCTCAACTGGTTGCATGTGAATGCGCTTTTTTGTGTTACTATTTGTGGTACAAAATGAGTTCATGTTAGATTTACAATGAGAAGTCATAATTGTTAGAACCATTCGATCCTTGAATTGGGAAAAGCACTTATCTGGTTCCATATGGCCAAGCCGACAAAACTAACACAAATAATATCATTGAAGTTCCATACAAGAATTTTAGCTGGTCTAATAATAATAATAATAATACCATGAGACGATATTGTTTAAAAACCCTCTAACAAAAAGAAACATTTGAAGAAAAAGAGAGAGATATCTGATTAAAATGGACAATCAGGTTCACTTGCCTATATCAGTTGGTTAAACACAAACCATTAGGTTCATCCATTCAACAAACCAGTCTGAAACCAATCTTTTTAGAAGGGAAGAAAAGTAAAATATTGAGATAGAAAATTAAGATGCAACATGCAACCATTTATACAGACAGCACCAGGAATCCTCTGGAACATAAATGAGATGGTCAAATTAGTAGAAACGGGGTATATTCCACAATAATGTTATAAAATCTTGACAAAAAGCCAAAAGCAGCAATTGTTTACTCCCAATATTGCCAATTTGTCCAACAGTGTTATATATATGAGATTTATATTAGATAGAAGTTATTGAATGGATTTGTGTGAAAAAGCTTGAATATGTTAACAAGTAAGGCTAATCACTAACAAGCATGGTTTTTAAAATCAGATTGGACGGTTGGACTGGAAAAACTGGGAATCGATTAGGTGATTGATTTTGTTTTTCTCCCAAACTGGATTTTTGCCAAAAAATATTGATTTGGTCAATAAACCATTAACTCGTGCGGTTGAACCGTTGACCTTTTTTAAATTTTTAATTTTTTTGTCAAAATGGGTCAACCATTTGACCCAAAAACCGGACCCCTAACCGATTCGTTATCCAAGTCGATTTTAAAAATTTTCAACAAGGTTGTAGAAAAATTTCTCTGCCAACTACTTTTCTATGTAAAATTATATTTGGGTCATCAGCATTGGCTCAATTGGATGAAGGTGTTGATGACCCAGTAGCTAAGATGGTCGCTTGAAATACAGAGGCACGAGATCAAACCTGCATACGTGTCAAGATCTGATAGGACCAGCCATGTGTACCCTGCAGTTCCACCCCTTAAGCCCGCCCATAATCTATTAATATGTAGATGCCCTCCGTGGTAGGATCAGTGGGCCTCATGTCCACTTCCGCCTCTTAATCCTCCTCCTATAATCTGTAATATGTGATACCTAAAAAAGATAGGATGAAAGACAAACTGGATGAGAACAATATATTGAGTCAACAACGGGACAAGCTGGAGCGGTTGGTTAGGGGCATGTTCTCGGGTAATGGGTTCATTCGCCATCTTGGTTTGGTAATTAAATGAAAACATTTCTCTTTTACCTTTTTTTTATTAGTGATAATGTGATACGGGCACATCTCATTATTGATAAATGGGGCATCCCATTTTTGAGTGAAGAAGCCAAAACTAAAAGTGGTTTTTTTATTCTTGAAAGACAATAAGACCCTGTGTACAAACTTTTCATATGGGTATTTTTTGTCATTTAACATAGGATGTGCCCCTTACAAGAAATGGATGTGGCCTAATCAGTAATCACTCCTTTCTTTCTTTGTTTTTTCACTTCATTACTATTTGGTTGTAAAAATGTAAAATTGTGGATGGCAGCAAACAACCCACTAAATTTTGGAAAAGAACAAAATAAAAAAGGACATTGTATCAATAGGGCTGTGGCAATATGGTAATTCCCTGGCAGACAAAAGTCATTCTCAAGCATCTGGTTCAACCCAGAAATTGGATCTGGATGTATGAGAGGAGGGAGAGAGAAGGGATGGAGAGAGAAAGGGAAGGGTAGGTTGGGAGCTTTGGGGAGCGTGTCGGTAGTGGCTGAGGTGGTCTGGTCTGGGGACTCGTGATGAGGGATCAGAGAGGAGAGGGGTGGGAGTGAGTGGCTGCAGCACACGTGAGATGAGTACACACGTGTAGGGAGAGTAGCAAGCATGAGAAAGGGTCTCGCCAGTGAAAGAAGCTGTTGTTTTGCCCCCACATAACAAATCCCATCGATTGACACATCACTGACTGTCTTATGATTTGAAGACCTTCGATTTGACGTTTGACTACTCATTCCTCCCCCTCCCCTCCCCTCTCCTCTCCCTCCACCCTCTCATCTCATCTTTTTCCCTGTTATACGCTCTCTCTCTCTCTCTCTGACTGTCTCTCTACGTACTGTATTTCCTACTGTTATACGTTACTTTATTACTTCAGTCTCTACAAGGAACAACTAACAACAGAGATCAGACTTCACCACTTCAGAGAGAGAGAGAGAGAGAGAGGCGAGGCGGGAGTACTGTATTGAGTTTAGTTTAGTTGGAGACTAGATAGGTTTAGAGAATATTCTACTTCCGACGTCACCCAGGAAATTTTATTTGTTAAGAGCTTCTTGGGCTTTGGCCTACATGACTAAAGTGGTCGTTTGGGATCCCAGAATGAAATTTGCTTAAATACTCAGAAGATAAAGGACTCATCATCCAATGAGATCTGCTTAAAAGAGTCCCTATCTAAGACATTCATTAATCACCATGTATCACAGAAGCTAGCTTTGATTGTTTTGAGATCATTCATTCTTGGAAAACCAAATTGTCCGGATTCTTAGCTTGTTTTTGTACGTATTTATTTATGTAGACATTTTGTTGCTTCCTCCTGATTTTCCTCTGTTTATGAAATCCACAGATGTAAAAGTAGTGCATAGATAAGTGGGATCTGCCTTAATACCTGCAGTTTACCCAATAGAAGAAAGGAAAATGAAGGAGAAAAGAAAACCCAGATCGATTTCTTCTAAAACTTGATTTATGCAGTGTTTGAAACTTTCTTAAAACCCCTGTTTATTTCCTTATTAGGACTGGTTGAGTGGTACGATCACAGCAATCTATTGGGAATTGGGGATCAAGACCATCATCTGGGTCTGGTAGTCCTGGACCTATTCTTCTGTCTTGTTCTTGTCTAATTTTAGTTGCATTTTTTTTTTCCATTTTATTTTATCAAAGGAAAGGGATAGTTAGGGATATCAATGGACAATGGGTCTTCTTTGCTCAGCCCAATCTCGTCCCGGCCCAACTAATTAAGGATGGGAATATCCAACCCAACCCGACCCATCCTACGTATAATATACCTGATAATCAGATATATATCCATGCTAATGGGTCAAGTACAGTACGAGTTCACCTCAACCCAAAACCAGATAGGGTCGGATCATTGTGGGTTTTACAGTCAACCCGACCCACTGACATCCTTGACATCAACAGCCAAAGTGATTAAATTCCAAAATCCGGGTTAGGCTTGACTTGACTTCAACACTTTTTTTTTCCCCTTTTAAATCCGATGGAATTTGATTACTCTCTCCTCCAAGACTCCAACCAATTGCCACCCCTACAGGCTATGAAAGCTACGCCTATGCCCCCAGCAGAAGCTCACAAGGCATATAAGCTCAATCTTGACTTGCATTAGACTTATGGTTTGTTGGGTTACGACAACAACATTGCGTCACTTAGTTTTAACCATTAATGAGCTTTTTCTTTATTATTTTTTATCATCTAGTGAATGACATTGCCTTCAATCACTTTCTTGCAACTTGGTGTGAATGGATGGGTCACTTTCAAAACAAAATAAATAAATAAATTACACCGAATTTCAACTTGATACAACCCCTGAACCCTCCCTCCTTCATCCAAACTTTGGGATACAGCAAAAAGCTCTCAACAATATATTACACATAATAATGATGAAAAAAGAATGGAGAAGAAGCCTTTTATCCGGAACCCTAAAATTCTCCTACCCCAAAAAGAAAGGGAAGTCTGCTTTGCTTGAAAGCACAAAAGTTTACAGAAACAAGGTAGAGCTGGTTGAAGTATAACTAAATTCTTTGAGTCAATCCATCTAATATTCTAGGGCTTGGGGTTTGAACATTGAATCCCTTTTCTTTTTTTTTCTTTTTTATTTGTAAACAGGGTTTGAAGCTTTTGAAATCAAGGTTCAAGGGGTTTCTTTTCTTTTTCTTTTCTTGTTACGGGTAATTCTTTCAACATCTAATGATAAATATATCTGTCATATTAGTTCTGGGTGATGGACAATGTCAAGGAAGTGATGGATTTAATTCAAGGTCCACGGTAGGTTGATATGGACCATATAAAAGACATCTTAGAGTTGAACTAGCTACTTAAATATTTCTTTTTCTTTGTTGTTGTTGTTTTTCTCTTTTTTTTTTTTTTCTGGGATGTGGGTGGCTCTAAGATTAAGAGCTATTTT